CTGGTAAGACAGAGTGAAGCTGAAGCAATGCCGTAAAGCGGTACTATATTAGGTTTTAAAGTTAAAGCAGTAAAAGTCATAGGTTTTTATCACAAGAAGTCTTTCTGTGACAAACTAGAGAAGACCAAAGGTAACCATGCAGACAGTAAACTGGGGAAAGTTGTGTTTTTTTATTGATTGCCTTTACAGTAAAATTAAATTGTTTTTACACAGTTAGCAAATCTTTACAATTGAAACACCAGCTCAGCGTTTCACAATTCTAACACCATAGTTCACAGTAGTTCAAACAAAATACAAAAGGGTACAAAAAGATATTGTAATGTTACTTCTTTACCATTCTGAAGCATTGACTTTTCAAAAACAACCACACCTTTTAACCACACATCCAGCAGGTGAGCAAACACCTTTGCGGTCAAATGAAACTCGCCCGTCAGGTGAAAGCACTTTACTGATCTGCACAGGGGTGGATTCAGCACACAAGGAGGCAATGCCTCAGGAAGCAGGGGTGTAGCGACGTAGCTCCTATCAGAGCTCTCACATCTATGCTGGGAGGTTCTTCCCACAATGCCTTGCAAATGAGGATTAATCCTGTGATGTTATATTTTATGTTATATTTCTGTAAAGAAATGAGGAGGAAAACAAAAGGGKTTTTTTTATATTCCAGGTGTTTGCTGATTAAGTGTTTGTGTTTTTTTGCAGCTCAGCCTTCGCCTCAACAGCAATGTTCTCGAGCTGCTGTGAGTAAAACCGTGCATGAGTTTTTAAATAATTCACCTCATTTTAAAAAGCTAAATATATTAAATACAACTTCTCTTTTGTTTCTTATAGGAAATTAAACAGAGACTTCATCAGCAGTGTGATGGTAAGAAAGGCTATAAAAAAACCAGAGATGAGGAAATGTTTTTAGCTGTGTTCCTTTCAGCCCTCTGTAACAGATAATGGCATTGTTTTTCAYACGGGGCTTTGTGGTTACTAACAGCGGGAAAGCCCTGCGAGAAACACAGGTGTTTTACTTTGTTGTGCATTTTGTCATGTTGCTCTTTCAACAGCCAAAGTAGTTGTGTCGTTGCCTGTATGCAGAGAGCCAAGCAGAAGGGTAAATGTCACGCTTGCATTGGACTTTTTATTACTTTACAAATGTGAAAAAGCWATAAAAGTGCATTTCTAAACACATCTGCTCTTTCTTCTTCAGAGTCTACTTGAACAYTACAACTTCAACACAAACCCCAGAGGAGTTTGTGTTATTATAGACTGTGTGGGCCAAGATGGAGGTGAGACACTAAGCTTTTTAATTTGGTTAATGTACCAAAACAACTTTAAATACATTTTGATTCTAAAACCATTTAATGTAAAAGTACAGAAGTATCCACTGCTTTTAGCTACCATTCTGCTTGAATAGCTTTTGGCTACAATTTAGCTAATTGTAGCTGCAGGTTAGTTTAGACTTTATTGAACGTAATGAATTTAAAAGAATAAACAAAGTTATATACAAAAGAAAAATAAATTTAAAACAAAAAGCAAACAAAAAAACAAGAACAATAATGAATTATATTTACATGTTCAAAGGAGTGGGTAGAAGTATAATCTTATTTTTTACACCCACCCCTCTTGCATCTAAAAAAAAATCATCCATAATTACAACTTATATAGAACATTGTTTCTTTTTTTATATTTTCTACATCCATATCTCTAACTTAAACAAAACATTCGTTTTTTTTGCATCCATAATTTTTAATACAATAACTTTTTTTCTTCAATAAACCATAATACAGGTTTGATGATTATTTTTCCATCTGTTCTTGTTTTAACTTGGAACAGTCTAATTAAAAAAATATCTTCAAAAAATTTGACTAAAGTCCTTTAAGCACTCAGCATTTTTTTTTTACCTTTAAACATTCAGCACAAAACCATTTTTAGCAAACATACAAGAGAAATTTAGAGTTGAAAACAAAGTATAAGTAGTGGAAACTAGTAAATGCATGTCAGCCCCTTCTTGACCCAAAAATAATCTGTAATTTTCACAAAAAAATTCATAGCACACTCCATAAGATTGCCCCATACATTTGTTTTCATGCAAAATTGGGGGAAAAAAAATCTGTAATTTACAGACAACTCAACATGTCTGTAAATGAAATATCAGGTAAAAGCAGAACAGAATCCTGAAACCAGAAAGTTCTTGTAAAACTGGGTTTGGAATACGAGGAAACTAAAGGGACTGAAAATGAAAATAGTCTGGGAAAAGTGAAACAGATACACGTTGGACACAAAAAATGCACAGAAAACCAGTTTGTGTTGGAAAGTCCCTCTTGCTGTGTGTGAAACTTAAAAACGAACAGTCACTATAGAGCCACCTCATTTTTTTCTATAATAATGGGATCTCTCTGTGTGGAGTTTGCATGTTCTCCTCGTGTTTGTGTGGGTTTTCTCAGGGTACTCGGGTTTCCTCTCACAGACTGAAAACATGTACAATAGATCGCCTTCAGGCCCGGACCTCCTTTGCAAAATAGATCCGTGATCTCAATGGAATTTGTTGAGTTAAATAAAGGTTAATAAACTGTTTTAATTGGTGTCCGTTTTCTCATTCAGGAATGTTAGAGGAGACGTTCAAGGCTCTTCACTTCAGCGTCCGCCACCTGAAGTGGCTGAGTGCTGAGGACATCCTTTCATCCCTCAGAGACATGTCTAAACAAAGAGACTACAGATACGATTGTTTTGTCTGTTGCATCATTAGTCGTGGTTCAACTAACTACCTCTTTGGTACGGACACGTATGACAACAGTTTACCCATAGACCTCATCAGAGGGCTTTTCACTGCAGATTCTTGTCCCATGYTGGCCGGCAAGCCAAAACTCTTCTTCATCCAGAGGTACAGCGTTGCAGATTTGGTTTCCTGTGCGACAGCAAACTACCAGGATGAGAACATAGAGGTGGATGGTTGTAATGGGCAGCGATCACGTAACATCCCCGTAGAAGCTGATATATTCTGGAGTCACTGCTGGATGGATGAGTGTCAACTAAAGCARGCGCAGCACCACTCTGTTTATCTGAAGGCCCTGACAGACGCCCTCTGCAAAGCCCAAAGGAGGTAAAAACAAAACACCCAACAGTGCGGTGAATCTTAGTACAACAGCTAATCTGTTCTTTTATTGTCATCCTGACAGGAAAACAAGTCTTCTTGATGTTCAGATGGAGCTGAACGGGGCCATCTTTGAGCACAACAAAAGAAATCCTGGAGCAGCTTACAACATTGATGTGAAACACACTTTACTGAAAAATCTTTACCTGGAATAGAAGGGTTACAGTAATTTTTACTGAACTTCTATTTCTATTGTACGACAGAGTATTAGGGCCACACAATGAGATTTATTTTTAAATTATGAGAATAAAGTCATAATATTACGACACTAAAGTCGGATGGAAATAAAACCATAATATTAACAATCCGAAGCATACGTCAAAACATCAGGTACAGTATGTCTGAAGAGACATAAAATAACAAAGTGTCAAGTAACGAAGAAAAGTATATTTATAATGTCGTAAAATTATGAGATTAAAATCAATATTATGAGAATAAAGTCGTAATACGACACGAAAAAGCATGCAGTTACTGCATTAAGATGAGGAATGTTGAGCAACTTGTCAAGTTGTTCTTTAGTATTGCTTAAAATAAATAGTTGATCTTTTAGCACATTAGCATCAAATTATCAGTAGCAGGGCTTGGAAATTGTGCAAACGATTATATGATAAACTGAAGCTGTAATTAATGGATGCATTGACAGATTTATTCTGCACGTAGCTAATTTGGATGAAAGCATATTAATTTAACAGTGACCCAAGTCATTGCAGACTACTTTAAACACAGACACATGACTGTCCACAGAAGGTGTGGGGAAAATGAGGACATGAGTAACAAAAAATGGACACGTCATGTAAGATTATGACTTTTTTTTCATAATATTCTGACTTTGTTCTCATAAAATTGACTTTATTCTTATAATATTATGACTTTATTGTTGTAATAATGCGTAATATTTTTTTTTGTTGTGTAGCTCTAATACTCTGTCATACTATTCCACTTAGATACATCCAAAACTGCTAATGAAGAACATGTTTTATGTGGCTACACTGACACCTGCTGGTCATTCCTTTACACAACACAATCCCTCTTGAAGGACAAACACTTATTTAACCTTACTTTTAAATATTTATTATTTCATATTTAACTTTTTATATTCTTAAATTAATTTTTTACCTAAATGACTGAAAACTATTCCTACCCACATAATACAGAACTTATCAGTGATCAGCAAAATCTGTATCAAACACTGTGAATAGCTAATAAAACGCGACCATTTTGTTTTATATTAACTTCACACTTTGTACAGTCTCACAATATCTAATGTTTATTTTTACTTTTCTGAATTTACACCTTTTATGTATTTTTTCTTCTAAAAACAAAAGGTAAAGCTTATTTAAATACAAAGCCCTCTCCCATGTCCAGAAGAAGCAACACAGAGCTTTATTGACTTTTGTCCCATCAAACTGGGGCCTAAAACCAAAAGACATTTTAGGAAAGAGTGTGTTTAAGTTTTGTCACAATTATTTTCAGTTCAGACTCTCTGTAAGAAGTAGATGTCAAAATTATAGGGCCCCAATGATTTTATGTTTTTTTTTTTTAATGTTCTACACAATTATCATCATGATAAATAGTCTTTGTTTGGGTGTTCCCTTTAAGGTAAAAGTACATGCTGTTAAGATAATAACTAAAGTTATACTGGAATAATCTAGGATTGGATTTCTACCATTGCTTTAAAAATGTATAATTCTCTCCTCTTTTATAAAGTGAACCATCCTGCAACACTGTTCAGTGTTTTGTGTTGTAGTTTCTGTATTTTACCGTATTTTAGAATCTAACTGAAAATAGGTTAAAGTAAAGGACAGTTAAAGTTTTATCCAACAAAAGCTGCTTGAAGAAAAAAAAAACATCTCACTTCAGGCTTTGTTTGTCCCTCTGATCTGTTTTTCTTAATATGTTTTAATCTGTGAATTAAAAAGGTCATAATTGTGTTTGTTTGACAGTTTTGTGCATTCAGTTATCATTTTTCACATATTGAACATTTAATTTAATTTATATATTGGATAAAAACAGACCATATTCACATAAGAAAAAATATATAATTATACCAAATCTAATAAATATTTTTATGATTTTCTATTGAATTCACCATATTTCTTCTAAACAACATGTCTTAAAAGTATTCCCCAAAACACTGATGGATTGAAAAGATAAATAAATCTCACCGTAAAGCCTAAAATTGGATTATTGAAAAGGTCAACAATCTACTAGCATGATCCAATCAAGTTGTTACACTTCTTGTATTGGTAGTTTTTAACACTTATTTGCCAACAAATTGACAAAACCTACTAAAGCTAGTCTTTTTTTATTCTGGGTACAAATGATAATGTTTTGTTTGTTTGTTTGTTTG